TTCTTTTAGGACTGACTGATTTGATCTTTTTGCAGTCCAAGGGACTCTCAAGAGTCTTCTCCAGCACCATAGTTCAAAAGAATCTATTCTTCGGCGCTCGGCCTTCCTTAGAGTCCAACTCTCGCAGCCATACATGACTACTGGGAATACCATTGCTTTGACTATGCGGACTTTTGTTGGCAGGGTGATGTCTCTACTTTTTATCATGCTGTTTAGGTTCGCCATCGCTTCCTCCCAAGGAGCAGGCGTCTTTTAATTTCATGGCTGCTGTCACAGTCTGTGGTGATCTGGGATCCCAGGAATGTGAAATCTGTCACTACTTCCACGACTTCCCCTTCTATTTGCCAAGGAGTGATGGAGCTGGATGCCATGATCTTAGTTTTTTTGATATTGAGCTTCACGCCCACTTTTGCGCTCTCCTCTTTTACTCTGAGCAAGAGGCTCTTTAGGTCCTCTTCACTTTCTGCCATTAGAGTGGTATCGTCTGCATATCTGAGGTTGTTGATCTTTTCCCCAGCAATCTTAATTCCCGCTCGTGATTCATCAAGGCCAGCATTTCACATGATGTACTCTGCATATATATTAAATAAGCAAGGTGATAATATACATCCTTGTCGTACTCCTTTTCGTATGGTAAACCAATCAGTTGTTCCATATCCGGTTCTAACTGTAGCTTCTTGACCCTTATACAGATTTCTCAAGAGACATGTGAGGTGGTCTGGTACTCCCATCTATTTAAGGACCTGCCATAGTTTGTTGTGATCCACACAGTCAAAAGCTTTAGCATAGTCAATGAAGCAGAAGTAGATGTTTTTCTGGTACTCTCTTGCTTTCTCCATAATCCAGCGAATGTTGGCAATTTGATCTCTAGTTCCTCTACCTCTTCGAAACCCAGCTTGTACTTCTGGCAGTTCTCTATCCACGAACTGTTGAAGCCTAGCTTGTAGGATCTTGAGCATGACCTTGCTAGCATGTGATATGAGTGCAATTGTGCGATAGTTTGAACATTCCTTGGCATTGCCCTTCTTTGGGATTGGAATGTATACTGACCTTTTCCAATCCTGAGGCCACTGTTGCGTTTTCCAAATTTGCTGGCAAATGGAGTGCAGCACTTTAACAGCATCATCTTCTAAGACTTTGAATAGCTCAGCTGGAATACCATCACCTCCACTAGCTTTGTTGTTACTAATGCTTTCTAAGGCCCATTTAACTTCACATTCCAGGATGTCTGGCTCAAGGTCAGTGATTATACCATCGTGGTTGTCAAGGACATCGAGGTCTTTCTTGTATAGTTCTTCTGTGTATTCTTGCCATCTTTTCCTAATCTCTTCTGCTTCTGTTAGGTCCCTACCGTTTTTGTCCTTTATCATGGCCAGCTTTGCATGGAACGCTCCCTTGATTTCTCCAATTTTCTTGAAGAGATCTCTAGTCCTTCCCATTCTATTGTTTTCTTCTATTACTTTGCACTGTTCATTCAGGAAGGCCTCCTTATCTCTCCTTGCTGTTCTCTGGAAATCTGCGTTCAGTTGGGTAAATCTTTCCTTTTCGCCTTTGCCTTTCGCTTTCCTTCTTTCCTCTGCTATTTGTAAAGCCTCATCAGAAAGCCACTTTGCTTTCTTACATTTCTTTTTCTTTGGGATGGTGGTGATTGCTGCCTCCTGTACAATGTCACGAACCTCCGTCCATAGTTCTTCAGGCACTCTATCTATCAAATCCAGACCCTTGAATCTATTCTTCACCTCTACTGTATATTCATCAGGGATGCGATCTAGGTCAAACCTGAATGGCCTCGTGGTTTTCCCAATTTTCTTCAGTTTAAGTCTGAATTTTGCAATGAGTAGCTCATGATCTGAACCACAGTCAGCTCCAGGTCTTGTTTTTACTGACTGGATAGAGCTTCTCCATCTTTGACTGCAAATTATATAGTCAATCTGATTTCGGTGTTGCCCATCTGGTGATGTCCATGTGTAGAGTCGCCTCTTAGGTTGTTGGAAAAGGGTGTTCGCTATGACCAGTGTGTTCTCTTGACAAAACTCTGTTAACCTTTGCCCTGCTTCATTTTGCTTTCCAAGGCCAAACTTGTCTGTTATTCCAGTTACCTTTTGACTTCCTACTTTAGCATTCCAGTCCCCTATGATGATGAGGACATCATTTTTTGGTGTTAGTTCTAGGAGGTGTTGTAGGTCTTCATAGAACCGGTCCACTTCAGCCTCTTCTGCATCAGTGGTTGGGGCATAGACTTGGATTACTGTGATGTTGAATGGTTTGCCTTGGAATCGGACAGAAATCATTCTGTCATTTTTGAGATTGTATCCCAGTACTGCCTTTTGCACTCTCTTGTTGACTATAAAGGCCACACCATTTTTTCTACGAGATTCCTGGCCACAGTAGTAGATATAATGGTCTTCTGAGTTAAATTCGCCCATTCCTGTCCCCTTTAGTTCACTGATTCCTAAGATATCGATGTTGAGTCTTGCCATCTCATTTTTGACCACGTCAAGCTTTCCTTGATTCATAGATCTTACATTCCAGGTTCCTATGCAGTACTGTTCTGTGCAGCATCGGACTTTCCTTTCACCATCAGACACATCCACAACTGAGCGTCCTTTCAGCTTTGGCCCAGCCGCTTCACTCTTTCTGGGGTTACTTGTACTTGCCCGCTGCTCTTCCCCAGTAGCATATTGGACACCTTCCGACCTGAGAGGCTCATCTTCCGGCGTCATATCTTTTAGCCTTTTGTTACTGTTCATCGGGTTTTCTTGGCAAAGATACTGGAGTGGGTTGCCATTTCCTTCTCCAGGGGATCACACTTGGTCTGAGTTCTCTGCTGTGGCCTGTCCATCTTGGGTGGCCCTCCAAGGCACAGCCCACAGCCTCATCGAACCACACAAGCCCCCTCGCCACGACAAGGCAGTGACCCATGAGGGGGCTGGTTTGGGTAACAGCGATTAATACTTGGCCAATAGATGGCGCTGATGCTTCTCTGTTGATAAGGAAAACAGATGGCATGAGCAGAGTAATAAACACCACAAATGGGCTACTGGAAGGCTTTTTTCTCACGACCTATGAAAAGTTTCTGATGAACTCCACTGGCAAAAGCATGTCAGCAGTTGCAGAAGATCCTGTAGACATAAAACATTTGCAGAAAGGCAGAGCTGTCTGGACTAGGCAACCAGCCAAAGCTACTTGGATTTCCACATCCCGGGACTACCACCACCCCCATGCGTTAGAGGCAGACTGCTGAAGATAAACAAGGAGCAGCTACATAGAGGCACTTTCTATGAAGTAGAAAACAAAGACAAGAAAGCAGCTGCCATAATGACAAGTTTGCTGCATGCGTGTCATTTTTATGATGAACTTTCTGCAAGTATTGCAGCTCCATGGATTCAATAGCAACTCTCTTCGCTGCAATTAATGTTCACCTCAGCAGAGTATTTTTCCTTTGTATGCTTAGCCCTCTTTCGCTCTTCTAGGCAAGGCCAGGCCAGGCTGTGTCCTAGGAAGCCACATTAGACTCCAGGCCAGAAGTGTGTCCTCCGGTCACATTTCCTGGGTTCTGGAGCCATTGACATCAGCAGGCCTCCGACTGGACCCCAAAGAGCAACAAGCAAAGTTCTGCTCTGTTGAGCAGGGAAGGCCAGGAGGCAAAGTTCCTCATCTTTATACCAGGTGTGAAAATGTCTATACAGTGTGCAACTGCAATAAAAAAGGCCAACGCTATGCTCGGGATTATTAGGAAAGGAACTGAAAACAAATCAGCCCGTATCATAATGCCCCCGTATAAATAAATGGTGCAACCTCATTTGGAGTACTGTGTACATTTCTGGTCGCCACACCTCAAAAAGGATATTATAGCTTTGGAAAAAGTGCAGAAAAGGGCAACTGGAATGATAAAAGGGTTGGAACACTTTCCCTATGAGGAAAGGTAAAAACGTTTGGGGCTCTTTAGCTTGGAGAAACGACGACTGAGGGGTGACATGATCGAGGTTTATAAGATTATGCATGGGATAGAGCAGGTAGGGAAA